CACCAAATACAAAATAAATAGTACCATTAAATTTCTTGTAAAAAAACTACGAAGTTATTTAAAAATTTGCAAGTTCAACCAATTGGTTTCCTATAGCGAACAAAATAAACAAACTTCCTCTTTTATATATAAATATATATATTTATCTTCGAAAAATAGAAAAGTACCATTTCAATCTTTTTGCTTCCTTATCCTTTCTTTGTATACTGCCAATTTGTTACTCCGAGTACAAGAGGTGTTGTTAAATGCCAGGCCAGTTGTTTTGATTGTGATTTATACTCAATAAGGATTGTTTCACCATGTTTTCATTTCTTTACTCAAAACCAAGACAATTCAGTTAAACTCAATTACATCTTCTGTTGAACCTCCTGTTATCCTGCAAATCCTAACCATTTTCTCAAAAGGAAAATAGTGAACCAGAGTAAATTGGAAGAAGAAATTGTGGTGTGTGACTTGGATTCAAAACTGGGTTATTGAGCCTTTTGTTTTCCCCTTGATATGTGTATTTCTTTGGAAGGTAAATATTTGAACCTGAGAATAACATAATACTTATAACTATATTTATTACCTACTCAACAGTACTTTCAGTGATAAACATAAAATATTCTGTTTTTCTAATGATGTATAACACATTTAGGATCTAAGTCTATTTATCATCTTCCAGAAAATTTATTACTCATTCAGACTTTAAATGGAATATGCCGAGTCAAATTTATGTATTATTTGGAAATTATTTTGATTTATAAGGTAGAATGTGAGTGTCCTTATTCTTTTATCTATGTGCAGGAAAAAGGTTGTCCTACTGACTGGTCAAAAGGATCAACATGGTATCACCTACTATATACATATTTTTTATTCAAATTTTAGGTTTACTGGCCACTGTGTATGACATCAAAATAAGCATTTAAATTTTTTTTCAAAGAAGGAAGAAAAACTACAAATTATTATGGTTGGGTAATGCTAGAAAAACTAGAATCTTTTAGTGCTGTTTTACAAAAAAAAAATAGTTTTGATGACCTCGGTACATTATATATATATAAATTAAAAACACATGTACAAACTATATTTTTAATTGTTCAATAGGTAAGAAATCAGAATATTTATGAAAACTACTTTCAGGTAAACTAGTTGTATTGGAATCAAATATTTAGAACCTTCCCATAATGTTTTAAGTCAATTTTGCAGTTTTCAATTGCATTTCATGAGAATTTGGAAAAACTACATTTGTGCAGTGGTCTCAGTGAATTGTGGAATTTGATCCACATCTTTTGTTAGGTGTCACTCTGTAGATAATTATATTAACATATTTTAAAGACATGCATTGAATATTCTAGAGCATTAAGAAATGTAATGGACATGCAGTATTTGCTAGTATGTTCATCAGATGTGCTTTTAAGTTTACATGTGTGCATCTTTGTTTTTGAACCATTATCAGGATGGTATTGCCTAAACAGTTTAGTAAAGTTGGGATTGTGATCTAAAATTCAAGATCACACAGAGGTAATTGTTTGGTTTCTTTTATCAGGTCATAGTTCATAGATTTGGCTGTGCAGAAATACTTTCAAGGTCACATACAAGTCAGATCATTTTCGTCACTTCATATTGCTGAAGTTGGTCAAATTTTACACCTTGGGTATAAGTTATGCATCATAGTCATGGTTACCTCAAGGTAACATAATAAAAACTTATTTTGAATTTTGTTCAAAAGTCAACATGGTTTCACTGGGGGGGGGGATCTTAACTTACAAATTGTTTGACATTCTTTGAAAAAGTTACTACTTATGTAAGATGAGGGTAGGGTACACATGTTCATTTAGTGTATCTGGATATTTCAAAAGTATTTGACAAAGTGCTACTTACAAAGCTTGTTAAAAAAGTGATCTCTTTATGTGTGGAAGATAGGTTGGTTCATTGGATGTAAAACTGGCTAGACAGAAGAAAGCTGAGGGTTGTTAAAAACGGAGTTCAGCCAAACTGGATTAATGTAATGATCTCTGTGTTAGGCCGACCTTTGCTCTTTGTCATTTACATCAAAGATATAGATGAAAGAATGGTCAATAGATAATTTAAATTTGCTGATGACATTAAAGTTTTGGTTGTTGTATGCTGTAGGGAGGATATTACCATAATCCAAAAGGATTTGGATTAATTAGAGAGTTGGGCAAATAAATAGTAGACAACTTTTAATTAGAAAAAATGCAAGATAATACATGTGGGATATCACAATCTGAAGTATGAGTATAATTTTGATGAGAATAACTTACAGTATTAAGGAAGAAAAATATCTTGGTGTTCTGATTTATAAGTCTCTTAAGCCATCCAAGTAAAGTGCTGCTGTTAGTAGTAGGGCAAATGGGATTTTAGGTTGTATCTACGGAAATAATGAATACAAATCTAAAGAGATTATACTGTTATTGTATATGTCTTTCATTGGTTAGACCACATTTGGAGTACTACATTAGTCTTAAGCTTTTTACCTTAGACAGGACATTGAATTGTTGGAAAGAGTTCAGATGAGGGCTACTGGGATAATATCTAGGATGGAAGGGTTCTCATATGAAAATAGGTTATGATCTTCAAACTTGTTTTCTCATGAAAAAAATAATATTAAAATGGATCTGATTGAGGTGTTTAATTTTTGTATTTAATGATGAAAATGGTAAGAGTATGGGATACAAATGTAAATTTTGGCTGGATAAAATCCATCAGCTACAACAGCATTTTTCTTTTTTCTGATAGTGTGGTTGGCCTTGGATAAAATTTGTCTTCAGATTTGGTAGACACAGTTAATTTAAGGGATTGATAAATATTTGAATGATAATGGCTGGCTTTGAGGTTTTTTAATGTTCAGTTTAACTTAGGGGACAGGACATTCTATATGGACCAAAAGGTCCCTTGTTGCATTATTTGGTTTTGTTTGTTTATTTGCTGTGATGTGCAAAACTACACAATCTGTACTTTCAACACTGTGGGTATTGAAGCCCAATGTTTAGCATTACAACAAACCTTCAGACAAGCGAGGGAATTTTATTATTTGGAAGGAATTAAAAAGTAAATTACAAGTGTACATAAACAATGTCTTATGAAGTGAATAAAAACTGTATGTGAAATTTTGGAAGGTGTACAAGAAAACAGAAAAGGAGTATTCTATCCATAACCACCTTTTATAAGGTATTCAAGAAAAGTTACTGTACGTTAAATTACCAATACTTTTCACAGGAACTGCTTTTTTTTTTTTACTACACTTTCTGTCCTTGGGTTTTTTTTTTTAGAGTTCAACTTTGGTGGAACAAATTTAATTTTCAAATAAAAATTCCACCTGGCAAACTTCTAGATCATTTCAGTTAGTGATTTTGGTTTTATTTTATCATTAACCATTCACACACAAAAAAAGTTGGTGAAATAAGGGCGTAATTAAGATTTTAAAGAACAGTAATTATTACTGGGTCTATCTTAAGTTGCAAACGTTAGATACGTTCTGATGAACTCTGCATTTCTGTTTAATGCCCTATAATACTAATAAATGTTGAAATCTATGTTATTAAAACTCGTATTGTTTCACTGGATTATACAATATTGTCCTAAATAATATTAAGCATTCTGACATGAATATTTTATTAGTTAATGGTATTTACACTGTAATATATATTTTTATGTAAAACCCCATTTCTTATGTAAAGTGAATGCAGCTGGTTAAACATTATATATGGTGTGATTTTTAGATCACTCCTTTTCTATTTTTCATGCACAAGAAATGTTAAAATGTGTATTGTTATTCCAATGTGTTAGAAGTATCTAAATTAAGGTTATTTACTGTGTATAAACTTGTGAAATGTTTAAAATAAATAGGCTTTTTAAATAAGTATCTAAATTAAGATTGTTTACTGTATGATGAAATGTTTAAAAAATAGGCTTTTTAAATAAGTATCTAAATTAAAGTTGTTTACAGTGTATAACCTTATGAAATGTTTAAAATAAATAGGCTTTTTAAATAAGTATCTAAATCAAGGTTGTTTACTGTGTATAAACTTATGAAATATTTAAAATAAATAGGCTTTTTAAATAACATACCACATTACATAACCAAATAAGTTGAATTGTTTGTTTGTTTTGAATTTCACGCAAAGCTACACGAGGGCTATCTGCGCTAGCCGTCCCTAATTTAGCAGTGTAAGACTAGAGGGAAGGCAGATAGTCATCATCACCCACTGCCAACTCTTGGGCTACTCTTTTACCAACAAATAGTGGGATTGAGCATCACATTATAACATTCCTACGGCTGAAAGGCGAGCATGTTTGGTGTGATGGGGATTCAAACCCGTGACCCTCAGATTGCAAGTCGAGAATAAGTTGAATAAGCCACTAACCAAAATCTATAGATGAGTTTTTGTTAACATGCATTGTAGATTTACATTTCATTTGATTTCATTAATTTCCTACAGGTGGTTAGTGGTTAACTGATGATTTAAACATGCTTGAACTGTCTTGAGTAGTTTTTATATTTATCTTACTTTTACAAATTGTTGAGATACTTAAGCACACAGGTATTTAGTATAGTGTTTTAATACTTTTATTGAATTATGCTAAATTATTTCACCAAACAATTTGTTGTGTTTGCATTTATTTTTATATAGATTAGTTACATTAATAAACTGGTTTGATTTTGAAATGGGATTTTGCAGTGGACTACCGAGATCAGCAGTTCTCTATCTGCGATCCATGAACAAAAACGTTTGAGAACCACTGCTGTAGATCACAGTGTGATCTAGATTATCAAAAGTAGTGTTACACTAAACATTTACTTTGAAGCCTTTACGACTTAGATCAAATTATTAAGAGTCTAATCTAAATAGAGTTGGATCACTTTTTTGTAAAATAAAAAAAAAAAAAAATTTAAGAGAAAAGAATACGAAAACGTCTCAAAATTTTATTAATAAGATAATCGTATCTTTTATGACTTATATGAGATGGAACATAACTGAGCTTAGAAGGCAAAAACATTAAGTTATTTCTTTTATTTCTTGTGCTTATACTTTAATCATAGTTTTATATGGTTTTATCCAGATAAGAAACCCCATGAAATTCCAGGAAACTGGGATTTAGGATTTATCACGAGCAAAAGTATGATGCTAACACCTCCTATCCAAAGTGGCCATATTCTGCATCTCTGTGTAAGCTGTTTAGGTCCTTCAGTACATCACTACAGATCCTGAAACCAACAAGACAAAACTAAAGATTTATCTTGTCTATGTTTTAAATGACACTGAAAATAAAGTATTAAAATTCTAGCACTAAATTTTTTGGGGTGTAGTGGTCAGAAAGCAAAGAAAGTACATTTGTTATCGGTGGTGGGTTAATAATAACAATCATACAAACAATAATACTTTTCATATTATTAAGTTTCCACTGTAACATATTTAATAAAATGTTTATACATGGATTTGGGATTATTAAAACAGTGTGCAAAACACATTTGGAGGGACTCAAGCACACCCATGTCCTATGGGCACGATGCCACTGATTGAATGGCTAAAGTTTCTTTCAACTACTGTGTTAAGAAATTAGCCTTATTTACCCAAGATTTCAAGTTACTATTACTTATATGTTTTGTACCAGATTCTGACGTTTTACAGTAAAAGGACGAGTAGAGGATCCAACTGCTGAGAATCCAAATATGGATCCGAACACTATGGTACACCAAAGCATATTAGTCCAACAAATGAGGGGGACAGGGCATACTGACACCCGATTAAAGCTGGTCAGAAAATCTTTGAGCATGAACTTGTATGTTGGGTGAAGGGGGAAAATTATAAAGTTCAGAAGGTGGAATGTCACCCAAAAAGGTTTTTTTGGGGGTCATCATAGGAGAGAGGGGAAACATGTACAATATCACACACCTGATTAACAAGTTGCAAAAAAAAGGGTGAGAGGTGAAATCTCCTGAATAGGTGTAGATTGTGACTGACCAAAATAAGAGGGTTCCAGAAAAAAAAGAGTCCAAATTTTCTTCACCATAATGGTATTCTTCCTCAAAAACATGTTCACATTGAAAAAGTAAGAAATCGCCAATTGAACATTTGACTCTAGCTCCTTAAGAATTAAGGCTTTACTTCCTCTGCAGATAAAGTCAAACCCAAGTCCTGAGAAGTCATAGCATTTGCATTGTGGACTGTAATGGGAATTTCCATTTCCAATACAATGAACCTCGAATTAATACTAAGTTTACTTAGAATTCAGGAAGAAAGAAACAAATTCAAATCATCGAAACAATTGAATTGAAATACAGAAAAATAAAACTGTTGAAAAAAATTATTAGAAACATATGTCTAAATCATGTAATGCCAATCAAGAAAGTGACGACTGAGTGGGAATAGCTGAGGAAGCTAGCTGCACCCATATAAGTGGCACAATACTATTGGTAGAGGGTAATCACATGTGCAAAAATGACATGAAATTGATGGGGTATATAAACTGGTGTGCTGAGCCCAAACATGTCTCTAGCAATGCTTAGAGGGCAGAAAGAAGACTGAGATAGCATTGTGTGAGTAGAGGTAAGACTGCATCAGAAGGTAGCTAATCAACATCACCCACTGCTAACTCTTGGGCTACTCTAATCAAATAGTAGGATTGAACATCACTTTATAATGACCCCATGGTTGAAAGGGGTGAGTATGTTCAGCAGTGAGAAGCAAACCCAAAAGTGTGTGAGTAAAGTACCCAAATCACCAGGATATGCCAGAAGAGCAAAAAAACTAATACAATATCATAACTCTTTCAAGGCCATTGACCAACACAGAATAATCACAAAGACAAATGGAACAGGAAACACTGGCCACCAGCTAGTAAGTCATAATATTTTCTTTCACACTGAATAGGTAGAGTTCATGTAAAGCTATCAAAACCCGTATTTTTAAATTTTGCATAATATGTATCTAATTATAGGATACACAAAATCATACTGCAAATAAAAGATTGAAAAGTTTTATCCAATACTAAGATAGACAATCCTATTAATCATCTTAAGAAAAGACAGGAAAACGTGAGATGTACAAGTTAGTTATACCCATGTTTTCTTCTTTCATTACCATTTAAAATACATTTTTAATGATAAATGTTCATCTCTTGGTTTCTCTTCATTGCAGTATGTCATGTTTCTACACCTAATTTTAAATGTTTGTTACTCAAACCTATCTAGATTTTATAATTTGGTGAAACTATTTTAGTTTTTGAACAAGTCATATAATGTTTAATAAAAAAATAACAATTACACAATTTAGTAATGTATTAACTGTGCTTTACAGAGCTGAGATTTTAGCCACTATAAAGCAAAGACGACATGTTTTTTTAAGCTTCGCAAAATATCAACCAAATTTTTATTTTACAGTCAAGTTGATATTCAATTACTGAACATAAAGTTCAAACTGATGTAAAATGCAAATACATCAGTATATATATATTTTTTAGTATAATTAATAAAGTATAGTATTTTTTGTTATGTACAGAACTTTACTAAAACAATTATTAGCCGTAACAATTAGTTAGTTGTTTTTGTTCCTTTTATCATCATTAAACAGTTATGTAAGCCAAGTATCTATCTCGACTTGACGAAGAAGATCAAATGTATTATTAGCTGTAAGACATTGCTAGTATTAATTGCTTTCGTCTTTGAAGTGGCACCGAAGAACCTTTTGTAACTTGTTTTAAAGATATGAATTTTTAAAATTAAAAAATCTTAGTTTCTGGTGATTTTAAAATTGGAATATATTCTACAATGACAAACATGCTGAGATAAGTACATTTTGTATCAAAAAAAAAAAAATTCCCATTTTGATAAAATATGTCTTCTGGGTTGTTACTTTAGCAGAATTATCTTAAATGTTTTTTTTAAAGTAAATAATGATCAGTAAATTCTCTAAGAATGATATAATCAAAGAAAATTGTGACATTACTTACAAATAAGAAGTTTATGCTATATAAGGAATTAGAACTGGTCAAGTAAAAACTTGAAGACACACATCAGTTTTTCCAGGTAGTTTTCCAAGTAATTTTACAAATTCCATGCTTATAGTTTTTCTTGGTTTGGTTTTGGAGTTTCCTGCAAAGCTACACGAGGGCTATCTGTGCTAGGCATCCCTAGTTTAGCAGTGAAAGACTAGAGGGAAGGCAGCTAGTCAACACCATTCAAGGCCAACTCTTGGACTACTCTTTAGTGACAATTAATGGGATTGACTGTCACATTATAATGCCTCCATAGCTAAAAGGGTGAGCACGTTCAGTGTGATGAGGAGTTGAACTTGTGACCTGCAGATTGCAAGTTGAGCATACTAACCACCAGGCCCAGTTTTTCTCATTTAAGCATAATTACAGGTAGGAATTCACCAATCTGTCTGTATCTCAAGAAACTTGCAACATATTTTGTTCATGCACAGTTCTCCATCATTACAGAAAGTCTGAATATCAGTAACTGTGTCAGTCTCTTGGTAATTATATCATATTACCTAGTTGGAAGTTGAAAAACAATGAAGACGTATGCAGTTGAATGCAAGTAAAATAAATAACACTGAACACAGACAAGGAGCAGTGACGGCAAAACAACAGGAAACACGCTAGTATATGAAAATTGAACAGAACAAAGGAACTTTATGAAAGCTTAATTTCTGACTTAATGACAAACAAAATGTAAATACAGTTTTGAATACTTTTTAAACATATTTATGATATCATGAAACCTAAAAGATCTTATAAATTTACCAATACTGTACAGTATGACTATAAGTGACTGTCTAATTCACTAGAGATTAATATGAGTTTGTTTTTATAGGATCATGTTGTAGAACTAACTAAAAAAACTGCTATCACAACTTTTTACAAATTCACTTAGAAACTGTTTTGCATTCAATACAAGGATTTAAAACGAAAAAGAAATGATTTGGAAAAGAATGTTATCATACATGTAATGTTCAGTGTGACAATATTCTATTTAAATGAATACAGTATTTATATGAACAGTAAAAAAAAATTATATATGTAAATACACTTGATTAGAGAATCCTGAGAGCTAAGAATGTCTTTGAAAAACAGATATAAAACATTTAATGAACAAAAGTAGCGTTGTTAAGTGAATAAAATAAGATAATAACACAGTTTTACTCATCATCTTTCCTTCTTTATAAAATGTTTTCTAAACTCTACACTTACAGTCTTTACTGGTGGGCTCAAAATTTCTCATGATTTTCACTTCCACAACAGATTAGTGAGGCTGAGGAACATGACCATCTACGTAGAAGTTTCTAGTAGCAGTTGGAAGCCTTAGTTCTATTCCATCTAACTCTTTGGTAAGTATTATTTGACAACCTGGAAAGATGAAAAAACAACATTTCGTCTTACCAACGAAACACAGAGCCCTCTCCACATTTTATAATTCCCCTGGTAATCTTCACTCAATCTTGCCTATACATATCTTACTTTTATTATCTTATACTGAGCTAATCAATCAATATTGTATATATATATATATATATTATCTGTAAAAATATATAATGCTTGAGTCTTAAATATATATCAATCAATTTCCTTCTTTTAAGGATGAATTATTTACGCTTATTAATGAAATTAAAAAAATGAAACAGATGTAGTAAGAATCATGTTTAATGATGAAATTTTCACAAAATCAATGTTTCTAACTTTTTTATCAATGGACAAATCACAGAAATCTGAATCAAAGTTAAAAATGTGAGTTTTATCTTAATAGTTATAATGATGTATAAGCCAAATAAAAAAAAAGAATTAAAGTAAATAAAAAGGAAAAACTGAAGTTAACTTTCAAATACTAAAGAATTAATTAAACTGCTATAACTTTAACACATACAGTCTCGAAGAAAAATATCATAATTAGACTTGTTCAAATTAATGTGTTTGATATGAGAGATATGCATTGGCTTCCTGAGATGCAGGTTATACCATTTTGACTAAGAGAATCCTCTTACTGCTTTTGTTATTGGAAATGGCCAAAAAAGGAAATATTCTTGATGAGATTCCTAGAATATCCATGGCTATTACTAAAAGTGGAAACATTGAAGAGAATTGTTCTGAACACATCCATGACTATAAGTGGAAATACAGTAGAGAGAGAGATGTTCTGAACACATCCATGACTATAAGTGGAAATACAGTAGAGAGAGATGTTCTAAACACATCCATGGCTATTACTGTGAGAGGAAACACTGTAGAGAGAGAGATGTTCTGAACACATTCATTACTATAAGAGGAAACACTGTAGAGAGATGTTCTGAATGCATTCATTACTATAAGTGGAAACACAGTAGAGAGCGATGTTCTGAACACATCCATGGCTATTACTATAAGTGGAAACACAGTAGAGAGAGATGTTCTGAACACATCCATGACTATAAGTGGAAACACAGTAGAGAGATGTTCTGAACACATCCATGACTATAAGTGGAAACACAGTAGAGAGATGTTCTGAACACATCCATGACTATAAGTGGAAACACAGTAGAGAGAGATGTTCTGAACACATCCATGGCTATTACTATAAGTGGAAACACTGCAGAAAAATATTCTTAACACATCAAGAACTATAAGTGGTAACAGTATAGAGACGTTCTGAATACGTCCATGGCTACTACTGCAAGTGGAAACACTGTACAGAAGTTATAAATATATCCAGATTTAATAATGCACAGAACATACTGTAGAAATGTTATGAACAGTTTTTCATGATGAAAAATTAAAAATATAGTTATGAGTTTGAAATTTCCTGATCAACATAAATTATAAGCTCTAAACATTTTGTAAGCTATCTAAGAAAGTGAAAAATAAACAAATGAAAATCAATGTTCCAAATTTATGTGAAAAAAATTAATGACGAGGTTCATATTTAATTATTAAGCCCTTTTGCTTCAATACACACATATATATAAAATTCTCACCTAATCTTGAGTTTTCTTTTAGAAATGGTGCCATATCAAGAAGGTCTTCTTCACTAAAAGAAATATAACAGTCGAGTGAAAACTGTATCACACTCTTTGGTATTACTTTTTTCAACTTCAATTTCTTTTCAACATTTGAACTTAAAAACTCTGCATCAAAATTTCATTACCAATGATATATTTCATCTAAACAAAAACCACTCACTGTGCTTGTAATTACTGTTCTATACATGTTACAGTACTCTTCATGGTTTTAAAATAGATACAGTCACAGCCTTAGCTCTCTTTTAAGTTTAAAATATACAAACACATTTGTTTCTTTTAGTTTTACCACAAGTACAGTTACAGTCTCAACTATTTTAGTTGCAAATACATAAACACGTTTGTTTCTTTTGGTTTTACCACAAATACAGTTACAGCCTCAACTATTTGTGGTAAAACCAAAAGAAACAAACATGTTTATGTATTTTCAACTAAAATACAGTTACAGTTTTAGTTTTATGTCTACAATCATAGCCTCAACTCCATCAGTATAAAATAAATAAATACATTTTACCAATATAAAATTAAGTAGTTGGTAAGAAATAGAGAGAGATCTGGCAACTGTGATGATTTTTTTCATTCATGAATATTTTGTACAACATCTCAATTGCACTTTTCGTATCTACTATCCAGTATACAATTGAGAAGTTAGCCAAATATTCAAAAATAAAATAATAGGAAATCCTAAAAAATTACCAATTGCCAAATTACATATCACTATTTAAATGGACACTTTATTGCATGATAAAATTAATGACATTAATCCAGTAGTTTTCCTTCAGCAGGCTAACACTGTTTACAAACTAAAAGTAACACCCATGCTCAAATCAGACTGTATTGATAAATCAAACAATGTGTTGTCAATATACACTATATGTTTATTACAACTTTTATTGAGCTATTACATAAATGTGTAATAGTTTGTGTTGTTAAAAAGTCACTTACTAGCAAGAACTAAGGGATTAACCCTTTATCTGTATCGGTAGAGCACTCTCAGGTTTGAACTCGAAGCAAGGAAATATGAATATGTAATGTCAAAATAAAGTTAATTTTTTACAACTCTGAAAATGTATTTCTGATAGATACTTACCTCCTCTGACATAATAGTTTTCCTCGATTTGTGCTGCCCTCTATATGCACAATTTTTTCTCAACACTAACCTTGAAGCTCCCACCTAACATCAAGTGGTATAGCTGCATTGTAGCATGCAAATGAGCATGTGATAACCCTCCACCAATAGGAGTGTGACACACCTTCCTAGTGCAGCTGGTTTCCTCTAAACTGTAGAGCACAATCATCACTTTGAGATTAGACAAAAAAATAGATGCATCAAAAATGGGGAGTATGGATGGGAAGTGTGAGGTAAGTATCTATCAGAAAAACATTTTCAGTGTTGGAAAGTGTTAACTTCTAATACAATACTTTACCTCTGCTTACATAATAGCTAGAATCCCACAATGAAACGGTGGAGGGACCAGTGCAAAAGTTACCTGGATGAGCACTCTTCAGAATAATTTTCCAAAAAGAGCCCATGGAGTGTGATACCCTAATATATAGGGTCACACTTGTGGGAAACTACAACACATCTGTACCAGGGTATACTATTCACCCACTGTAAGGATATGTGTCACCAATTCAGGCAGAAAACATGCAAGTTCAATCAGTAAATGGATGTGCCAGATGGTGTAGAGTGGCTAGGACTTATCACACTGTAATCAGTGGGTCAACACCAGTTCAAAACTGGGCAACATCGGGTATGTGTCTTCCGGTCTGCAGTAGGAGGAAGCAAACTGAAAAACAACTTCCATTCAAACAACCCAGGTGGGGTACATGTGTGTGCAGACCCAGTACACAGCAAACACCAGGTCACCTGGGATAGGAAGGGGGAATGCAAATGTAGATGGATCAAATCTAGTCCAAAACCAAGAAGCATTGGGAATTTTTTGCTTGGGTCCCTACCAGCCATATGTGTGAGGACTCGTGTTAGCTGGTTCTACGCCGTTCCAACACCAGAGCACCTGGGAACCAATCTCAAGGCAGTGGTAATATAGGGGAAAGCCAGCAAGAGGGATGAACTGCATGTGGTAGATTCATCCAATCCAAAATCATGCGGTATCAAGTATTAAGTATTTTTCACCCTGTCTGCAGTTGGAGAAGAGTACTCACCATCCACGCCAACACAAAACTACCACCCTACTCTCGATTGAGTGGAAGTGATCACATTCAGGAGGAAACCCCAAGATCCACCATCCTAGAAACTGGTAAGTGGCAAGGACTCCACTAAAAGAAAGACACATGAAGTCAAAGTGATGACTCTGCTGGATGGGAGAGGGGGAGTGAAGTTGAAGGAAGAAAGTGACAGAGGTAGAGGAGGAGAGGGCAGGAGAAGATGCAATAGAAGAAACCATGGCCAAGCTTGCCAGCTTGGAGTCATCAGGAGGATGAAACATGGAATGTCCAGAATGAGAGAAAACACGAAGGAGAAGACGATTAGGAGGGTAGGCATGTAGAAAAAAAGTTGGACCAGTCCAGCTGGAATACATCCCCAGCAAAAGCAGAAAACCAGAAAATGGGAGGTAGGGTGATGAAAAGAGTGGTAAAATCATTTAGAGCAATTGTGTCCAGATGAGAGCGTAGTCACATGAACACCAGAGGAATGAGGGACCAATCCACAACTAGTATCTTGGCAGACCTCGAGAGACAATCCATGAAAAGATTCAGGACACCTGGAATAGAACAAGCTATTAGAAGTACTTGTATAGAATGGGCCCAGAAAAAGGGGTTGGTAGTGTGGGAACAGGGAGAGCATGACAAAGTGTTCGTTCCCCTGATGATTGATATAGGAGACAATGGCAGAATTAGCTGTATGTATCATCATGAGATGTCTATGAACCATCCTAAAAAAAAAAAAAAGAATCAAAAATTTGATGTACAGTCAAAAGTTCTCAGAAGTGTAATACCTACTATGGGAGTAGTTTTATCAAGTCACCATGTGAAGTCTTTGAGTAAGGAAGGAGAATGGTTGAGGGAAAGGGATTCCAAGCAATAATCCAGAGAACATGTAGTCCATTCTAAATGTTGCACATGAGCATGACTCAAGGGGATAAAGAATTCCATGGAAGCCCAAATCCCCGAAAGAGAAACAACCTTCCACACAGTGAGAGAAGGAGAGGATATGGCATGGGAAACCAATTGTTCCATGTCCCTCAAAAGAAGAATAGAAAGACAGGGCCTGCAGAAATATGAATGAAAAAACCCAAATGAATGAAAAACAAAAGTGTGAGATGTGACTCCTCCAAACTGAACCAACCAACCCACACATAACACCTCCTGAAGGAAGAGAAGTGAATGACTGTAGAAAGCTTGTTAGTACAGAGCCAAAACAAGAAAAAAAGCATCTGAGATGTCCACCTCGGTCATTCCAAGACCTGTGGCGAAAAACCACCATAGGGTAATAAAATCCCCATGGGAAAATAAGGGACGATGAGAAACCAACTGAGACATGAAAAATGTAATAGACTCTACACCTGGGAACCACAAAAATATGGGAAGAAAAACCTGGAAAATGATGAGAACCCCCATCCAACAGCAATTGTAGCCAATAGGATCAACAATGTCACAGACCAATGTTGGCAAGAAATAAAATCCTTTGGAGGATGTAAAGTAATGGAAGCAGAAAACATTGGAGAAGGAGAGGAAAAAGCAAAGGTCTCCGATAGAAATCCCAGTTCTCGACAACTGGCTGCAAATAGAGGGCAAAAGCCCATAAACCAAACAAAATAAGCCCTACTGACCCTGAGCCAAGACTGTCAGTTCTGAAGTCTACTAGCAGTGGAAGGACAAATGGGAAAAGGAATGGTAAGTGGTGACAGAGAGAGAAGAGGAAGCAGGAGGACAGAACACAGAGAGAGTTCAAAGATTGAGCACAAGAGAGACATTAAACCAATGAGGATAAGGTAAAATCATTGGCATGCGGCCCTATATACAACACCAAAGAAACAAGTATACTAGTAAAATCATACAGGCAGATGAAAAGAGCCAGAAGAAGTCATAATAGATATAAAGGAGGCAAAACCAAGTGAGTAATAAGGGCATCATGCCCTAACCAACTCTAGCAAAAGTTCAACCAAATAAAAAATGAAAATGCTGAGAAAGATAAACAGGCCACTGTAAAAAAGATAAGTGAATGAATATCTCATAAAAACCCCATTGGGGAATGGTGGATTACCACAGAAAGCAGGTTAAAGATAATGGAAAAGAGTAGTGTGTGTGTAAGATGAAGGAAGGAAAACCTAAGCCTAAAAAAGACAGAGGATCTGACCCCTAAGTCTGAAGAAAAGACTTCAGAGTTTAGGAGTCAAAGAAAAGCAATACAGCACAAAGTCATGCCTAGTCATATGAGTTAACAAAGGAAGGAGGGCAAGGCATGTAAGCCCCAAAGTAGTGGTAAAATAATTGAATATGTAAAAAACATACCTGAGAAACCAAAAAATGGCTGATGTAGAATCAAGACAATAATAGATGAGGCAAAGGTAGGTGGAAAAAAAAGAGAAACACAGATGGAGGTATGTCACGGACATAAGAAGGCTTAGGCTGCATGAAAGACACCACCATCTGCTGCACAAAAGACATCACCTCTCCCAACAGACAAAGACAAAACCAATATAGTTGGTAGGCTAGCATTAACAAAGACATGTTGTTTCACACCAGACAAAATGAAAGTTACTGATACTTGTGAAACAATGTCTTTGTAGATACTTCCACTGAAAAATGGCTACACCTGAAAAGTTCAAAAGAGAAAAAATACAAAACATTACACGCAAGTGCCAAATCGAGAAGTGATGATTGTGCTCTACAGAACAGAAGGAGTCAGCTGCACTAGGAAAGTATGATACACTCCTATCGATGAAGGGTTGTAGCATGCTCATTTGTGTGCTACAATGCACTACGTGTAAATACATCACATTAGGTGGAGTCTCAAGGCTAGTGATGAGTAAAAATTGTGTATGCATAGGGTAGCACAAATCGAGGAAAGCTATTATGTGAAAAGAGGTCAGGTATCATATTGAAAATAATTACCACGAATGCCTCATTCCCAAGTATGATAATAATGTGTATGATTTTGAGCAGCTTGTGCATAAATTTTATATAATGAAACTCAAAACTGTGAGTTGGTTGGATGCATAATTGTTCTTTACCCTTTTGAGATAGATCACAGGTGAAAGGCCATGTTATCTCATTTGTTGAATCACATTCAAAATTTTATTTAACTGCTATTTCATGAATTTATGTCAATAAGTTTGGTATCAAACTGTAGATTAGAATTTAAATTTTAGTACTATAGATTACTCAATTTCTTAATTTAAAAGTAAATATTAAAAACAACAGATAAACATCTATTTTTGTGTGTCAAATGGTATGTTGAATGCAGTACTGGTTCAAATTAAATGTTTGTGAAGTCAAAATACTAAGTCTATAGTTTTGTACGAATTAGAAACTCAAATTACTGATATTGACAAGCTAGGATATAAAATAAGAAAGTCTTATTTTTTCTATTTGCTAAGATATTGCTCATGTAATAAATCAAACACAGTGGCACCCCACCCAACTCTTTCTATTTTCTCAGCCATTTTAACAGGCTTGGATGCCATTTCTTTCTTTTGAACCAATATTTCAAGGAGGTAGGGTGTGTCTTTAGTCTGCTCGAAATTTCATATTTTTTT